TATCATATTTCTGATAAGCGTCCACGCTACAAAGGAAAAGAAGAACGATGCAACAAATATGAACGCTTGGAGAGCACTTATGAGCGCATTTAAATGCCAGGGTATGCAAAGAAAGTATCTTGGGAGCAACTGTTGGAAAATTCAGCATCCCAGACCAAACGTCCCCAAATGGGCTTATGTCAACCTACTTCGCCGGTAAGCGAAATATGATTGTCTATAATGAGAGAGTTCATCACAATTTTGCTTTGATGATGATGTTGGTGAGACTTTCATTTATTATTTTTGTACCATCCATCGCACTTCTTTGACGGCGCTGATACCAAGCCTTTATTCTTTCGAGGACATCAACCAACTGAGCAGTGGCACCTTCCACATCAAGGAACGGAATATTCACTGCTTCCATGCCCTCATATCGTGATCATTAAAACAATTGCGGCGGTCGTCAACAAAAGGGAGCCTCTTACCTGAGAATATTTTAGAGTTTTCATTGTGGTGGGTCCCAAGGCCTACGGAAATGACAGCCTACGACAGTTTAAAATCTAGGCCGTCCTGATATACATATTGTTGTGGGAACTATGTCCCTTACGACAGCCTTACGTCACCCCGGTTAAATTCTTAGCCCACTCATTCGCAAGGATACACTAATTGAAAATATTCCATTTTGATATGTCACTAAGAACATTAATGTTCAAAAGACATCTTGGCCGCTTATTTGTATACCATTAATGGACATGAAATGCTTTATTTAATTTGTTCCGAAATATGTATGTATGTAAGTCCAGAAGAAAAAGAGATCGATATCATTCAAATAATTCACATTCAGATTTGAACTATCGACATACAGTGGTTCGAACGTATAATTGGACACTAAGTATATCACCTATTGTTCTCTTCAATGTAAAATTATTAAAAAATATTTTAAAACAATGTATAATACTTATGATCTTTTATTCAGAAATATTTTTAAAATAAAAAAAAAAGCTAACAAAATTCTTGACAAAAGCATAATTGGACATGTAATTTAGATTGTTGTAAAACGGTTCTTTGGACCCGTTTTTTTTTATGAGTTCATATTAATTCCAATGAAAATGCAAATGTTTCTAGTGCAGGAGTAGGGAATATTCATTTTATAGAGGGTAAAATGAATTCCAATATTTGGACATTTTGAAGCAAAGTGCGGATGAATTAAAGAATAGATCCTTGTGGACCGCCTTTGATTACGTGTAAATGGTTAGATATAATGTCACCTAGACATACAACTTGCAAACATAGATATGATATTTTTAAGTCAATGAGTAATGAAAGAAATTGCTAAGTTTCAAAGCTAGCAGTTCATGGTTCACAGGATCAGAAGCTTTAGAATGATCCAAAAGTGTTAATAACGTTACTCAATTTTTATCTTTGTTGAGCCTGATGTCACCCGAAATCCTAATTAGCGACGTTATGCAACTCCTGTTGGATCTAAAGCCAGACTAGTACCAATTCACCAGCATGCTTCGACCTAGAAAAGAATTTGTTGAGCATGCAAAATGCGTTCAATTACTTTAGATAGATCATTTGTCGGTACCGGTATACATACGACTGATTTTTAAAATTTGAGATTTAGGGTCAAAAGCCCCTAACACTACTTGCAAGCCTGAGATTCGGTATTCTATACAAGCACATATAAATAAATATTAACGAAAACCATTAATATCGGAGGACTATATCGTATAGATCCCATACAACCGATTTGTTCACATATGAGGTTCAAGTAACTGCAATTAATATTTAATAATAACATGAAATACCATAAATCTGACATTGTCATAAAAGGTATATAGATTTCGTTATTTAATTTATTCTTGTTCGTTATTTTATGGACTAATAGTGAAAAATGTATGGTTCGCCATATGTGGTTTTCGCATTTAACTTTCAAAATTACTAAATTTGAGGACTGCAAACAGCTTGCAGTTGCTCGGAGCCGAACCTGGCGAATACGTTGGTTGTGGGAGCAATTCGATGACCATTTAATGTTTTCATTGATTGGGATAGTGCGTTCTTGCATTACGCATTGAGGAACCCAGCATGTCTCTGTGTGAAGAAGTATATCTACGAACATCAAAAATAGTTTACATAGATTTAGTTGGTATGATGATTGGGTGTCTTTCGTTGTAACTCAGCGTGAAATGCCCAAAATCTGCCATTAACTCGAAGAAGTCGATCTTTGTCCAAGAAGGGATTCAAAACAAATGAACTATTTTCGTTGATTGCTGTTTTGGCTCGTAAATAATCTCTATCGCTAGGAAAATAGCGATTTTGGGAAATGGTTACATCCGCTTAACTCGTGACCCCATGTATCACATTGAATGTGCATGGTGGTTTCTCGTGCCGTGCGATCTCGGAATCAGACCATAGAAATATGTTCCACGCTTGTAAGCTGAGTTGCAACTAGATTTGCTAATAGTAAGGCGCCACACTGTCCTAAGCGAGGTAAGCTTACCATTTTAAACGGTGCTACCTTGCTTTTCGCAGCAAGGAGGGTGGAAGTTATTACCTTGTTAGCATGTGTGCCGATGCAAACTGTTGCACAATATGCCTTCTCCGAAGCATCGCAAGACCCGGGGATTTGGGTCTGCTGCTCTGGAGCGAAATTAACCCAGCGTGATATTTCAATTGCACAAATGGCAGGCAGACATAAAGGTGTGCCTTTTAGATAAAGCTCTGGGCTTATCACATTCAAAAAGTTTTGCAACCTACTATAAAATTTGTCCCTCAGTGACCGCATTTGCTGAAGTAGCTGGCAGAATTGTGTACATGAGCTTGTCTGTGAGAGCCATCCATTGAATATCCAGAGTTTTGGTTTAAGAAGCACTGGAATTTCAGAGAGTTTGATTCGAGGAAATCCTCTGTATGATATTGTTGCAGTACTTTGACTACCGGGTAGAATGTAATCGACATATGTTTGGTTTCGTATTATTGGTGTAGCGTATGGATATATTGCCTCAGTACTCGCTGCAACGTACGGATAACTAGGTATGGTATACAATTGGTCCAAAATATAACAGTTTTCAGACAATAATCGGTGACAGCAGATTAAGCAGATTTTCGAAATATGATTCTCTGGCTGTGTTTATCATCCTCGTGAATCAATATCTGGCCAGACGTTTTTTCAAGATCTCCGTTGAATACAAACTTATCCATGCGCCATTGAAGAATGAGCAGTGTCACTGACTAAACCAAAAAATGTATAATACCGAGAAGGACCAGCGCGTGGATTGCCTATTCGTTCCTACTTTTTCCTTTACCAGAAACACATCAGCGTTTTGTTCACCCAGAAATCTATGAGCGCATTTTACCACAAATTAACAGTGAGCAGGCAGAAATTGGTCTCAAAACAGCAGAATGAGTAAAATTATATGAAAACTGAGAAAATCGGTGTAAAATATGAAAAAACCTATGCAAGATAAATGTTAGCAAATGGTTGTTATCAAAATTTATTTAAATTTAAAGATTTTTGTTATTGGCCTTGATAGTTTGAAATTTTATTAAACAATTTTTATATTTTACTTATATTTTTTTACGATTAGTGATAATTATGATGAATTAAAAGTAAGAAATAAGGTCTAAATATTTGATTAAATTCTATTAAATATTTATCAGAAAACAATAATAATTAATAAACATTTTCTGTATTTATTTGCATACATACGAGTACATAGTTGTAGAGGTAAATATCAGGAAAGTAAGAAGATCAAAATTCATCCACGCACGCAAATATATGTACATTTCTTTACATATATAACCATTACACGTTTGTTTACAAACAAAAGCTTACGCATCCATCAAAAAAATACTACGCATTGCCATGACAATACTATTATAAAGGCAGCAATTTGAAATTAGAAAAAAAACGAGCCTCGCACATCTCCCCTCACGCGTCTATTACACAAACCATAATACAAAAAATTGAAATTGAACAAATTTGTGTTTTCAATCAACTGAGCTCTATACAATTAGCAAATAAATGTTTAATAAAGATTTGTCCATAAAATACGCAGCTATATTTAAGGCCTTCGTACACCCCTCCCTTCGTTTAAGTAGCTCAACATGGCTATTTCTGAGACCCCTCAATACCTGCCAGACTTATCACACCTTTCTTTCACACGTCTTTTCATTTTCCACTAATTATGTACATTTGTATGTATTTATTAAAAAATATTATATTTTGAGTGATTAATATATTATAATAAGTATATTTCTAATATATCATAAAAAATCCCTCCTCTTATCCAAGCTGCGTGGTTTATGGACCCAGCATAAGAGTACCTCACTATTATTAAATATAATTTATGGATTAAATTTTAGGTTTAAAGCTTATATGTAGTCCAACATATAATAGAAACTTTAAATCGTTGAGAAATTGCGTATGCAAAAGTAATGCAGTTGGATGTACATTGCATGGATAAAATATTATATCATAGGAATATTCGCGATATACCGATTTCACTGTACTTGAGTTCTTCTGCGACAACAGCAGATAACTATCGATAGACTGAACATCTTTCTTTACAATTACCAAACGAATATTTCGGCTGATCTTCTCCGATTTATGCTATGCGTCTTGATTTTCCAACAATTTACCTTTTGATTTACCTACAGTTTATTCTAAGTCGCCTTTGTGGTAGACCCATGCATTCTTATAAGGGTGCTAGTCGAACCAGGACTCGAACCCTGGCCATTCGAATGGCAGTACGCAATGTTAGCAACTCGGCTATTTTGGAATTAATTTTATAAGACTCACTTCACTAGATGTTCGTAAGAGAGTCAATTTGTGATAGCAGTATTGGTGAATACACAGAGATCACTGTACCTGAATTCATATACCAAAATATGATAAATAATACATTTTCTGGGTTGAACTGGAATTGTCTTCGCTTGCCAATTTTCTTTCCCGGATAAAATATAAAATATTCTACAATTTCAGTATTTAAGAATTTCATCATCCTCGCCACGAATCAGCTTGAGGACAAAGCGCTGGCGGGCAGGTAAGGCAATTCTTACTGGCCAATATAAGGTAATAGGCGAACGTCAGATTTAGCAACATAATGCCGATTTTTTCATTTTAGTAGACAAATTCGAATATTTGAATTTTTGTCAGTTAGAATTTGAATCAATGCTTGTAGATGCCATGAGATTTTTGCAGGTTGAAAGGAAAGAGGCAGCCAAATGTATTTTGTTGTTGCTTCAAGTATTGCGACCATTTTTGTTTTTTGATTTTTTGAATTTTGTCAAGAGCTTTTAGGCACGGTTATGAAGGGGCATGTGTGCGGTAAATTTATGAATGAAAAGGTTATTGTTGTATTTTACTAGAATTTAAATAGTGTGTAGAAGTCGTATGAATTTTACTGCAGATTTACGGTTTGAAGGAAGAGGGGAATGTAATATTTTTGTATTTTTGAATTTTGTCAAGAGATTTGTAGGCACCATTATGCAGTGTGCGATAAATTTATGAATGAAAATTATATTCTTGTATTTTACATAAAAATAGTCAGTATGAATTTATTTGCCTAAGCGTGTATGTATGTACAAATAAGTATTTCTATTTGCTTGAATTTTCATATTTTCGTATGGACTGCTTCTTATCGGAAACCGCTGAGTTTAATCCAAGTAATTTTATGTGAACTGCGCATGTTCGCGTGTTTGCTTGCCATATTGCTTTCTGCTTTTCGAATTCATTCAAATAATTTGCAATCAGATTTGAGCCATCTACATGTAATATAAAGGCATGTTATTAAGATGAGGCGAAGTTCGCTGGTTCTGCTAGTATATACATCCATATACATACACAGATATACAGCCACTACAGCTAAATATATAATTAAATAGGAATTTTAAATAAATTATAATATTAATGTAAAAATAAACATTTTTTGAATTATGAATAGAATAACATGAATCGTACTAGTACCTCATATTGGGTGATCCTCATTTCAGACCTTTGCTATTAGAAACACATGCTGATGTTGGTGTTGCGTTGGTGCAATATGAGGGAAATGCCTGTGACGATACGATAACAGACTGACTTAGAAATGGACGTAATGTAAATAAACAAACGAACCTATGTCAGGTAAAAGGAGCTTTGTGGAAACTTGTAAAAAGTGGAATCTCAAAACTTTTATATCGAAATATGTTAGGTTACAAAACTTGCCAATCGACGAATATGTTGATGCTGTTTCGCTAACCTTATCGGTATGCCGTACATATATTATTATAAATCTCGACGATTGTTTGTTGCTTGGATCAAATGAAGACACTCCCGAAGGAGTTGTTTGCCGTACAGGCTGTGAAGAAGATGTAGTTCATGACATTCAGAGGCAAGTATTATTCTTTAGAAAGTTTTGGAATGAAACCTTTGGAGCCGGTCGTATCTGAAGTAGACAAAAGATCCGAAACCGTTTTATCAGAGACCACTAAGCTTATTGGTTGTCACTATGAAACGGGTTCGTTATCGCGAACTGATGAAATTCATTTCTGTGAAGCTAAAATTGCCAAAGATAATAATTTTAAAAAGTGGTATAAAGACAAAATTAATGAGTATAATAGTACACAAGTCATATGCCAAGAAGTTTTTGATGGCAGAATCATTGTCGTTAAAACCTTATTAATAGTAAATACCTCACTTTGCCGTTTGCAATCCATATAAAGAAAATAAATTACGTTAGTTTTTGATGCTGCTGCATCCATAAACAGTGGATCTTTCAGATCATGTTTAATGAAAGGCCCAGTGCTTACCGAAGATACTTGTTACTAAGTATATTATTTAAAATTAGATAGAGTATCATTGGCGTATCTGCAGATATACGCGAAATGTTTACACAATTTGAGATACGCGAAGAAGGTCAGGATGCACAACGATTTGTCTGGCGTGATGGATATACGACAAAGGAGCCAGACGTGTATAACATGAAAGCAATGATATTTGGTCCAGCCTGCACACCATGTTCCGCGTAATTTGTAAAAAATATAAATACCATAAGCTTTTACGAAATTCATTCCAGAGCCACTACAGCTATATATAATTGACTACCACTACGTGAACGATTATGTTGACACCTTTAATGCAGTGAAAGATGCTATCAATATTTCGAATGCGGTTAAAGCCACTAGAGCTATGTATAATGGACTACCACTAGGTGGACGATTATGCTGATACCTTCAATGCAGTGAAACATGCTATAAATATTTCGAATACGGTTAAAAAATATAATAATTATACCGGCTTTAAGTTGCGAGGGTCAGTTTAACTCGAAGAAGCTTTGTAAGGCGCTTGGAGATGGATCAGCGCCCCTCACTAATGACACCGAGAGCCTTTGCTCTAAAGATTTTTTAACAGAAAAGGTACTGGGAATATACTGACGAACATTAGATGACTCATTTTGTTTTTAATTAAATTTTAGAGAGTAGAAAATGATGTATTGACTGGAGAACGAATACCGACGAAAGCTGGTGTGCAAAGTCTAACGATTTGATCCCTTGGATTATTTGTCAAATGTTACAGTAAAATCAAAAACTATTTTACAGAGCTATGGCATTTGAACGTAGATTGGTGGTGCTATTCCAAAGCAGACTTGCCACAAAGGTTTCGACTGCTATGCCGAGCTTGATAAGGCTTTCTAGCTTACTCATTATCCCCCGTTCCTATAAGTTTAATTTTAATAACCCAGACTCAAAGATTGACTTTCATATTTTTGTGAATGCTACCGAACTTTCAAATTTTGCAGTCGCTTACTCCTATTAAGGTACTTTCGGTGCCACGTCCAGAATTGTTTGCTACCATATTGTAAATTTATTTTAAAAAGTCATGATGTACAGCCCCAACTGATAACGTTTTGGTCTGGCTCGAAAACTTTTCTCAGTTGAATCAACTCAAATACGAAATATTTGAATCACACACAGAATCGCAGAAATTTTATATTCTTCTAATGTCAACCGGTGGCGATGGATTTCTGGTGAGCAAAATCTATCAGATGATTCGACACGATTGAATGCACACATTGATTTAAGGTCACGATGGATACGTGATTCAGATTTTTTGAAGGAACCTGAGATGTTTTGGCCAGGCCTTCTCCTCTGAAGGTATTCCGGAAAAGAGTGTAGATATAGAAAGACGCTCAAAGTGTGTCTTCGCAATGAAATTTGATAGATTTTGAAAGATTTTAGAAATATTTTAAGCTGTTCACAGTTATTTGTTGGGTAATGAAATTTAGATCTGTTCAAAAACAACGAACTAAAGGTACTTCTTTGTCGCAATTGACTGCAAAAGACATTGCTTAAGCTGAAAAAAAATACTCAGTCGCTATGTTCAAGAGAATACTTAGGCAAATAATATGAGTATGTTAGCAGGCAAAGAAAAGTTACCGGGAAATAGTGTGTCGCCTATATTTGATGAATATGGTACTTCGAGATGCTCAGGACGTATTGAAAATTCTGATTGTGTACCTTTAGACAAGAAAAAAAAAAGGTCTGTCATATAAACAATTATTATCCAAACTTATTGCAAGGCATTATCCTGAAATTGATAAGCATCAAAACCGTTTGCGCTATCAGAAGAAAATTTTGGATAACTAACGTACGTAACTTGGCCGTTCAGCTGAAATAAATTGTCGAACATGTAAAAACCAAAATGCAAAACCTAACACTCCACATATGGGGCAGGTTCCAAAATATCGACGCACTCCATTTGTTAGAGTATTCAGTTATACTGGTAATTCTTCGGACAGTGTATTGTAGCAGCTGGCCGCCGACAAGAGAAAAGATGAGGATGTTTATTTGCATATTGAACCATACGAACGGTTCATTTGGAATTTTATTAACAGGCAGTACAGAAGATTGGATATTATTAGAGGGAAAGTTATCGATGAAGGTGCCAGACATGGGGTAGAATGGTTGTTTAATTCACCTGGTAATCTTTTAGCTGGAGGTGCATGGTAGCGTATGGTAGGTTGCGTCAATAGAGTACTTTCATTCACTCTAAAGGCGAAGGTTCCACAGGTGAAAACGTTATAAACTCTTTTGATGGGAGCTGAAAAGCTGGTAAATTATCAGCCATCAACTTATTTGCCGTTAGACAACGAACTTAATCATTCCATGGGGGGAGGGCCCAAATGATGTTCAAACACCAAATGTAAATAAAGGCGTTTGCTTACGTAAGCAATGACAGATTCTTCAACAAATGAAGGAAACCTTTCGGAAGATATGGGTGTTGGAATATCTTACATACGATGCAAGTGGTGTTAAAGAGAATAGCCGGTGAAGGTTAGTGTTTTTGTCCTAATATGCGACGAAAATGCAATATATTTATTTTTCTATAACTACGTATATAAACATTATATAAGCTGAGTAATACGGAAACTTGGATACTTATTTTAGAGGAGCGTTAATTTCTTTGAAAACTGTATCCAATTGCCTCCAATTTCATTTTGAAGCAAGCGTTTGAAAGAATCATATGAACAAGTAATATCATTACCCAAATTAGATTCAATTCAATTTCATTAATATCACATGTAACTATATTTATATATTAAAAGTCCTATAAAAAAAATTTGTTAATAATATACGGCAAAGTTACAGCCGCAACCAGCGGGAAGAAGGCTAGTTGGAGGGTAGTACCAGTATGCAAAACATCATTAAACGAGTTGTCTGACCTCAATTTTCTTGAGTCGTTAAACACCACTCGACCTTTGGTGATCATTTTATCTGGTCTTACAATCGTATGATGTGGCAAGAAGTAATACTGTTAGTTGGAACTGGAGATTATTTCACGAGGGTGGGTAAACTCCATTGCATTAAAATCTCTTTTTTCAGCGTGTGCTCCATACTGACAAATTTTTGAAACGCTGCAGACTGGGAGTGGCCTAAAGGGAGTTTTCCGAGGAAGTCTTACCTGAATGGAAGCCGCACAACGTACCGACCGTTTGGAGCACGAGTCGTGTTTTGCCTGTATATGCTTTCGCAAGCTTGATCCTCAAAAAAAAAAATTGTGGAATCGGAGGAACATCTTCCTCTTCCCGAAATTGCCTTAACTGACCACTTATCTCATTTGAAACTTCTTCTAAATATGTTGAGAAGGACACTACTTTTTCGGTTACTGGCTCGTTAAGGATCCAACAGAATATTGAATTTTGTGATAGAGCTGTGTTGTAAATTTTGTGTACACCTTCCACGAGAATTTGTGGAAGCATTTCACTGCCTATTACCATGTCCGTTTGATATACCAGCTCATTGGCATTGGGTCCTTGAAAATAGTTGCATTGATCAGTTGCTTGTTTTGGATGATACCAGAGTCAAGAAATGAGTTTTGGACGATGTGTTCACTCTTTCCGGAAATTTTGAACTTAAGAAACTCGAATGTAAGTCTCAACCTTTTCAGAACTTTAGGGTAAATGAAAATCATTTGTGAGCCTTGGTCAATTAATGCTCTGAGTTGGAACAATTCTCCTTGGTATTCAACTGCGACCATGGCAGTTAGAAGGAGAGATCTGCCATCATGTCTCGTATGTAATAATTGTATATGTCCTTGTTGACTCATTTGCTCGCTGAGATTGGAGCTTCTACGTGTTAGTCGCGCTGGCAAAGTCGGCTTGGCTGCTTGGTGAGCAGCATCTTAACTTATTTGTACACTAGGATACGTTTATTTGCGTATTTATTGTCTGCTGAAAGTTTGAAGCTCTCCGGCAGCCATTTGTCGGTCTTTGAACAAACCTCTATATCATTGAACTCCGAACAATGATATGATGTTTTATAGTTTAGTAGAGGTGGGCATTTTAAAAGATTTATTACATCTGCCGGCATGAGTTTTTCTTTAATTTTGTTTACCTTTCACTGAAACAAATACTTGATATTAATGAATCAGAAGAATCCAAAGTACTATGAAAAAATAGGCCATATTGTTTAAGCGGCAATTTTTCTGGGCATGTGATCTCCTATCGTTTTTATAGTACTTATTCCATAGTTCTGAATCATTTTCTCCAAACATTCAACCGGAACCAAAGACGAGTTTATTATTTACCAGTTATGTTCTAATATTTTACGTACCGTCGGTGACCTATATACCAGGGATAAGTATTAACATATAATAAAAATATTTCCTTACAAAATGCATTGAATTTATCAACATCAATAGAATGCACACATGAAATAGTGAAAAAAAATTAATACAAATTGTATAAAATATTTTGATCAAATCTAGTAATTGTTTAAAATAACTGTTAATTAGCGAATGCTCTTTGTTTGGGAATGCTTACATCCAACCCTAATTTTTATTTCCGAGTAATCAGTTTGTTTGTATTAACCTGGGTAATATGCTACTTTAGAACTTCAATACTAAAGAATATGAGAATGAACTGACACTATTTTTTAGTCACAGGTGTTGGCTTAAAACATTCGGAGTCAAAATCAGTGGTTTCGGGGAGATTTTTTGGTTTCATCCAAAATATTGGACATACAGTGCCCGTATGTGCGCGTAAAACGTTAAGTACTTTTAGATCAATAAGTGTTCTGTGGTTTATAGGCAATAACAATTGTTTTGCCCCATTTTGTATATATGAAATCTAACTAATATTTATTTCTTTCTTATTATTTTCTGACGGCTTTCGTTTGCATACTCAATTTTAAGTGGCCTGCAGAACCTCACAAATTGTGGAGCATTGTTATGCTAAATAACTGGATGATTTGCATCTATTAAGTTCAAAGTGATCATGGTGCGGAAAAAGGATAAATCCAGGAAAACACGTTCTTCTGATTGAAACGTCTGCTTATATAAGCTTTGACCATTAGATCTAACGAAACCGTGGCTTACTTCCAACATGCAACGTGAACATCATTTTTGTTTCGGCTTTATGGCGTAAAAGGTTTTGCATTGGAACCTGCGAAAAATATTCCGAAATTTCTGTTTGAATTGGGCAGCAAAGAGTTTTGGCGACTTGAAGTGCTGAATATGGTAAGCCCATTTTCCAACAAATATGCCAATGCGTCTCCAGGAGTAAAGGGGATAATCATCTCAGATTTTATATCCCAGTTTGTTCATCCCTGACGACTTTCAACGCAATAACCAAATCATCTTTCGCATTCTTCACAGAAACAGAAGTAGCATATAGAAAATGCTGCGTTGAAAAGTCTATGTTTGATGCAAAATTACTTGCTAATTTATACTTTAAGCGCATTCCAGCAAGTGAATGATTTAATTTTGCTCAACGTAATTTAGACGTAGATGGATCAGTAAGCTCTTTATCTTCATAAGGTTATAATAATCGCCTCCGAAACACATCTTAAGTGATTAACTTTAAATCTTGACATCATACGGTTGCATTAAGCAAATATTTCTGGATCTTGGTTATAAAACTCCGAACTCCTTTTCCATCAGTTTGCAAAAATTGTGAGTTGATGACCTCATTTATATTCATTGTTTCCACAACCCAATTCGTTACGGCAGAATCATCGCGTCTATTGTGGGTCCAAACCTCCAGCAATGTTAAACGGTGAAACTCATGTTTGACTGCAACATGTCATTCTTTCCTAAAACAGGAAAAACGGGAATGGAATGTTAATAAAACCTTAATTTATGTATATACTTTGACTTAAGTCATATCAGTTTTATTGTAGTTGCCCACAAGAGCGTGCGGCATAAAAGTTGCACTCCGCATATCGACTAAAAGGTTTATGATTTGGAAAGAAACATAAATCGTGCATAAACATTTGCGTGCTTGTGTGGATTCTTTTTACAGCAGTGCCACTCAAAGAATTTGTGGCTAGATCTAATCGTCACAGATTCTTTCCATCTTTTTCAACGGAAAGAATATTAATGTAATGAGTGTATAGGATGTCAGTAAGCAACGGTCTTTACTATCAGGTTCCGGTATAAAATTTGCCTAGACCTCTTATCACCGCGGTGTGTTCGCAAAAATAATGCAACAATTCACACGAAAGAAAGTATTTGTGCCAACAGGATGGTAAGGCTCTTATCGGAACCGGCAGCTTTAAACGATTGCAGCCTTTGAACGCACTGATTTCAGCAGTTGAATATAGTTCTTCGTCGCCCATATTAAGGTTTTATTTCATTATGGTGCGAGATATATACATTGAATTTTATTGAGTATTCTGAATTTTGGGCCTGGTGATCAACGTAAGTGCGCTCTGATAACAGTCTTTCAGTAATAATTGTTTTATTTTCTCCCAACTGACGCTATTAATCTGTCGGTAAAATATGGTAAAAGAGTTGTACTTTACCTACCTTAGGTTAAGCTTACACTTCCATCTCAATTCTAATTTTGGGCCATCCATTATTTCTTTTATATTTTTTAGATTAGCTTAAATTCAAATCATATCTAGCGTAGAGTCATTCATGCGTAAAGGCTTCGCTACATGCACTTAAATGCTTTCTGAAATCCAGTTAGTGACCTTCAAACTGACAAATTTGCTCCAATTATACGTCCAAAGGTTAGTGCCCTGAAAGTTTGTCTGCAACAAGTACTTATGATTAAAGAAAAAGTGCTTCAGTAGAACACGGTTTAATTTCTCACTATGCTTAAGCGCTCATTCCAACCGCCTTAAACTTCTATGTAAATGCGTGTGGGGAGTTCTCCCGTCTGTTCTCAATGATTCCGCATGTCCGGTCATGCGCCAATACTTGTTTTCCTTTAGGTCAAATTTGTTAGCTGACCGATCATTTACTTGATCTGAAATCAGCAGCCCTTGCACGCGTGATTTTACTTCCGCTAATGCTGTCCTTTAATTGAATGTATACATATTAAATACGGTGCTTTAATTCGATGATTATATTCGAAATTTCAACATAATTTTTAAAGATTTTTATTAAAATACTGAATATTGTGCAACAACCTTTAAAACTTAGGGACCGCAAGACAGCTGACACTCCATAACTACTCTAATTTTTTTTGAAAGTTAACTTGGACCGTCGTCGCTAAAAGTGAACCAACCAGTGGAATAGAAAACAGAGAAATAGGAAAAATAATTTTAATTTTTTAAAAGTTAGAGTACAAAAGCCTACCAAAAAAGTTAGATCAAAATTTATAGGTGTCGTGAATAAACACATACATATAATACATACCTACAACAAAAATTTTTTTGTGTTAAAAAACTGTTACATTTTTATATAAATACTTATATGTACATTACAAAAAAATGTATAAAATATGAATCATACGCAAGCAGTGGCGGTGTACACATTTACTGCTAGTAAAGCCCAATGAATAAAACACGACGATTCTGAATATGGCCTCTTCTACCACAAGTATAACACTTAATATTTCTCCTCAATTTAGTGTTCCGTTTGTCACGTAATTCGACCTGCTTGCCCTTGAACTGATTGGCTGCAAAAATGCTTTCCTCCTCCAGTTCCCCTCGAATAGCCGTTGTTCTTCCTCCTGAATTTTCACCTTCAACTGGTCGATGGAAGGTAGCATGTCGCGGCTTTCAATGGCTATTATGAAGTTCTCCATCTCTTCCGGCGAACTGCATAACAATAATATGCTGAGTAGATCTTTTGGCACATCTAACCCAGTGTCTTTCAGATCTTCTACCAGCGTACAAAATTCATTAAGGTGCACTTTTTAATATGAAGTTATTCCGATGATTTGACACACAAAATCATCGTAGCTAGAGCCTTTTTATTTGTTCTTTCCCACATGTGCTTTTCCTCCGGTGATGCCGATGGTGGACACGATCTTTCCACGACATCCCATAGATCTTGCGTTATCAGCAAACTGCGCATCTGGGCCGACCACGACGCGTAGTTTTCACTGTTTAACTTTTCGATTTGCGAAAACGAGTTACTCATATTAATTTGTTTATCGACGAGCGATTTAAATAAAACTTTGATAAAATTTGTTCCGAATCACGTGTATTATTGGCTTATAACTCTGTGTTAGTAAAGCGCAATGATAAAAACACGACCGTTCTGATGTAGAGCATTTAATCAAGAGAAGTAAAGTATGAAAACTTACAATACAATAGTACTTAAGAGTATCAGTTATTTTGCGCAATCGGGTTGCTGATGCTAAACTTAGATTTAGTGTTACCTTACATTTACATATGGATACATAATAATATATCAAAAGTACATGAAAAAAGTGTTAAATATATACACAACAAATTTAAAAATATATAAATAAGTGGCAAATAAAAATCAGAAAAGTGAAAAAAAAATCACAAATATACAGCTTTACACCATCATTACAACATCACGACTGGCAAAATAAGAAGAAGGAAGACACTACAACAACAGGAACTGGCCAGAAGTCACCACAGCAACACAACAAAGCACCAGTTACTATTGTACAACAAAACAGAAAACACCAGCCGTTGTAGAACAGCACAACATACCAATAGGGAGCTAGACGGTCTGGGCTAAGTAGTAAGAAGGCACTCTTTTAATTTCCAAAGAATATATATATACATACATAAAAATACAAAACAGCATTTATGAAAAAATTTTAGAACAAAATTTAAAGGTGTCGTGAACAAACACATACATATAATACAACAAAAAATTTTTTGTGTTAAAAAATTTTAACATTTTTATACAAATACTTATGTGTTGCACGCTTCTAAGGCTAGCTGGTTTTGGACAGTTGCAGTCAGTTTTGCTAGCAGTACTTCTACGCACAGCTCTAAGCGAGGAAGGCTTATCGTTTTCAAAGGTGCATTGCTTTTAGCAACCAGTAGGGTGGATGTTGCATTAGTATTCGCTTCTGTGCATACATATATGGTTGCACAGAAGGCTTTTTTCGAGACATCGCAGAACCCATAGATTTGGGTATCCTGCCCCGGAGCAAAATGAAGCCATCGAGGAATTTCGATGTCGGAGATGGCTGGCAAGTTTTGAGTAAACTGGTGCCATTTTACCTTTGAAGTGGCTTTTGCGCATTCATCCCAATCAATGCCATCGAACCAAAGTTCTTGATGTGGCCATCCTGCGGGGTCAAAAAGTTTTACGACCGGCGACAGAATTTTGCCGTTTTGTTGCAGCTGTAGTTGCTGAAATTGGCAGGATGGTGTATGAGAACCTGTCCATTAATGCGTTCCATCGGATACCGAGAGTTTTGTTCGTGGAAGCATATTCGAATTTCAAGAAATTGGAGTCGAGAAGGTCTTCTCTCCGGAATTTTTCCAATATGGCCGGATTGTTAGCCGTTAATTTCCTGAGAATAAAGCCTGCTGACTTTAGCGCTTTGATCACTTGAAAGAGAGAATCGGTGACATTGTCCATATCATGACTTCCGGACATCATCAACATACGTTTGGGTTTTGAGTATTGGTGTGGCTAATGGAAACTTCACTTTTGTATCTTTTGCCAATTGATTTAGAGTACGGATAGCGAGATATGGCGCACAATTAACCCCGAGTGTTACTGTGTTAAGATTAAAATCAGAAATGGGAGAATTCTCCGACTCGCGAAACAAAATTCGATGATAATCTTTATCGTCCTCATGGATGAGGATTTGCCGATACATTTTTCCAATGTCTCCATTGAATACGTAATTGTACGTGCGCCACTGTAAAATTAGGCGCGGTTGGAGTGAAGGACCTGTATGTAAAACATCATTTAGGGAATTACCAGAACTTTATGTTTTCGATGCGTTGAAAACAACTCGCACTTTCGTCGTGACTTTATCTGGTTTTACAACCGCATGATGTGGCAAATAGAACGAATAGTAGTTGCCATTGCCATTGATTTAACGTGGGATTGTGAGTTCCATATGGCCCAATGTTATATATTCTTGCAACACATCGTTGAACATTGTCTTTAACTCCCCTTTCTTCTGAAGCGTGCGTTCCAAAGGAAAGTTGGCTTAAATAAAAGCCTGACAATGTAGCGACCGCTTGAATTACGGGTCGTTGCTACAACATAATAAGCTTCACATGCCTGATTTTCAGGCGTACTTTGTGAAGGTATATGGATTTTCTCCTGTTCCCAGAATTGCCTCAGTTGTGCACTGAGCGTTTCATTGGAAACTCGTTCTATTTGGGTGGAAAATGAGGATACCTTTTCGGTCACCGAACCACTAAGTATCCAACCAAATATGGTATTTTGCTCAAGAAGATTGTCGCAGACTTTTTGCAGCCCTTCCACTAGAATTTGTGGAACAAGATCGCTGCCGATAACCATATCGATTTGAGCTGGAATGTGACAATTTTGGGTCAGCTAGTTCGAGACTACTCAGTTCATGCCAATTTTCATGACTCATTGTAAAGTTAGAAGGAACCAGCGTCAAAGAGCAAAGCTTAGAGGAATTTTGGCCACCCATGGCTGAAATTTCGAACCTGGTACGCACGGTAGTTTCAATTTTTTCTGGACTTTCGAGGTGTATAAATATCAGCTACTTGCTGTATTTATTTATTTATTTATTTAATTAATAGCGCGCACTTTTGGTTTTAAATAGTATGTATATATATTTATTAAATTGATATAATTTATAATTAAATTTATTATGGACACTACCGTCGAGTTTTTAGCAAGCGAAAAGAAAATATATTCTAACTTAAAATTACTATTACATGCATATTTATATACATTTTTATTTTACATAGTTAAAGGAATAAGAGAAAATGGAACGGAGTAGGGTTGCTGGTAAGTATGTTTGGAATGGGAGTAAATTCAGTGAGGTGAGTATGCATGTAAATATATAGGTAAGTATTCGGGTAAGTATTTAGGGGATAATTCATATTCATTTAATTAACATATTATTTCTTATGTTGTTTCGTAATTCATTTTCTACTTAAATATTTTTTTTTAAATAGTACTTATAGGATGATGAGGTCATCCTCATCCATGTCTTCAACATGAGGAAATAAAAGTCCTTTGTGAGCCTTGGTCAATCAAGACTCGTAATTGGAATAAATCTCGTTCATGTTCAACTGATACCATGGCTGTCGGAAGAAGAACTTTGTTTTCGGTATTTGAGTGCAAAGACTTGCTTGCTTTAAACAGCACGGTTGCTCGTCGGAATTGGAGCTGGTTTGTGGCTATCGAGCGCGAATTGTCGACTTTGCCGTTGGATGTTGTACTGCAGCTTCACGGGATCTGCTACTGGTACTTTGAGCATGTGGTTTAACATCTACGTGCAGTAGAGTATGATACATTTGTTGGCGTTTCGCACATGTAAACTTGGTCTTATAGTCTTTGACATTATGGTTGTAAGCAAAGCAATTTTTACATAGGCTGCTTTTCTGTACAACCTGAAAACGTTCTTGTTCTGACATTTTCGGAATTTTCGACAGAATTCTAGCGGTTGGCTGGAGTTGCACACCTGGCAGGAATATGCCTTCATTGGTTCTACAATACCATAAAGTTTTGTGTCCTAATTAAAGGTTACAACTAACATTGTTTATGCTAACTTTTGGAAGGATACATTTCATTAATGTATTTTACATCTATTTCAATTTCTAATAGTAAATATATGTCCTTATAAGCGACGATTTGCCGTCGGCATTACGCAATAACATATTTTATAGAAGATAATTTATTCATAAATTGTAATTTTAACGTATTAATGAGATGTTTGATTAATAATTTCATTAACTTATAAATCAAAAATACATTAATTTGTACATACATATGTACGTATGTATATGCCATACAAAATACTGACCTGCCTCAAAATATACATACATTCATACATACATACATATATATGTACATGTATTCTTATGCACATATGCAAAAACATACAAACACATTGCTTGTGTGAAAACATACTTCCCTCTAAATATTTCTCTCGCCCAAAAGCTAAAATCAAATACAACAATAACATTTTCATTCATAGACGCCTGTGCCCTACAACACAGCAGGATGCGTTCATTCATAAATACCACCGCGCATGCCATACCAACAAAAAACACAAACACACAAAATCATTATGGTCGCGAAAAGTGAAGCAACAACAAAATACATACAAAGCATGCCCTTCTACTTCAACCTGTACCATTCATGAGTCGTCCACAAGCATTGCTGCAAATTCTTGCCACTGGCAAAAATTCAATCATCGTATTTCCTCAAGTCGAAGTCAAATTTTAGCAAACATCTAAAAATTGATGTTGA